TTACTGCAACTATATTTTTATAAATATTCATACATATGCTCATAATATAAGCATAAAGATCATAATAAACGCAAATATGAACTAACCATGCGGAATGACAACGCAAATTATTAAAATCTAGATAGAAATTCAAACGTGTGTAATATTTGGGTGGGAGGAAAAGAATACCGAATGCACCAGAATTTTCTACTGCTTTCGCAATTCTTTGACCAATACAGGGTGTTCAGGATAAATTTGACATATTTATAATTGTATATATTTTTCCGTAGGTTGGAGGTACTGACAAACACTACTCGTAATTTAAAAGTTTGGACCCTTCTTCATTCATATACAAGATGTCAGAAAGGATGGATGACTGGAACCCACCTAATCATGGAAGAGAATAACTGCATCATGATGATTCGTGCCGCCATCAAAATAAGGATATTATGACTGCTGACCAATGCTCCCTGAACACAGTAAACAATCAGGCATGAACTAGAGAACTTGCAATGGTGACTACGAGGATGTAGCAAGAAGAAAGATCCCGAGCAGACGATCTGATTGCGTTCGTACAGCAGAATTCCTCGCAGATCTGCAGGAACAGGTGTTTTGAGAACCCTCGCACTGGAATTGGGCTTTGTCATGTGAATGAATGTTGCAGCCCTCTATATGAAGCTTGGACTCATGAAGACCTTCGCTACGACTCATACAAGCGGATTTTCTTTTCCTTACGAAACTGTCAAATTATCCCGAACACCCTGTAAACAACGTGCACTGTCTGTCTCTCTGTGAGCACCAAAGGTTAGTTAATGCAGAGAAAGGGGCAAAAGCTATTTCCGGGAGTATGATTCACCATCTGACATTCCATATAAGGAAGAAAAGTTGTTCATTTAATTTTGGCTTTGGGATGGGGAAAAATTGCACGTTCATTAAAAAAAGGCACTAAAAGCAAAAAAAAAAAAAACACTAAAAACAAAACAAAAAATTAGGGCTTTAAAGAAAACGTAAGCACCTATAAGGGCCTTTATATTTTATTTTCAAATACAGTCAAATAACGAAAATCCACCGACCTGAAATCTGCCAACTCCTGAAATCCACATTGCTTCCCAAAATATACACATTCAGTTTATAGGTTCCAGAAACTACAACATTGACTACGAAATATCTAAGAAAAAATACTTACTGAATAATGACGTCGTAATTACCGAATAATAATGAGTCATAACGGAAATACCAAATTATTGACATCATGATAAAAGTTTTTTTGCCCTCTAATCTGCATCGAGGCCAAAAAGCAGACAATTCACTCAACTCTTCTTTTCAAGTTCACTATTCGCATTGTTGTATTTCACATTTGCTGATTCACGAGTTTATGGTGCTGCCTTTTTTTTAATCCGGATGTTTTTGTGGATAAATTAAGAATATTTTAAATTTCAGCCCTTTTTTAATAACAATTGGCAGATAAGAAACATACTCATGATTTTACTACTTGCAACGTTGAAGAACGTAAACACGTTGCATTGACGGTAATGCAAAAAGTGCAAATTCTGCAAAAGATGGAGGCAGGTGCTACTCGTCGGTTTAATAGCAGGAATCGTATGGAATTGCAACACGATTGTGCGTATGATATACGAGAAAATAAAGAAAAGCTGGTTGAAATTTTACAACAGAACAGTGATTCTGATCGTCGGAATCTCGAAACCGGAAATCTTTGCATGAGGCAAAATCAACAAACCTTGATGCTGTGTACATATAATATAATCAATTAGAATCAATATATGTAATAATAATTTAATGCATGTGATAAATTTTTACAATAATGTATATAATAATTTAATTAAATGTATCTAATACACCTTATTTATTTTGCACTTTTAGTCTGAATATTATAATTTATCTTTTCTGTCCTGAAATCCGCAAAATCAGCGCAACCTCTGGTCCAAAGCTCTGCGGATTTCTGGACTTCTACTGTATAAGTACTTATAAGGACCGCTACGAACCCTGTTAATGACCTTGCAAACAGGAATTCTACGAAAGATGTTAACTATTTGCTTGGTTCACGACTTCATTTGGCTTAATGGCAGAAAAGCCAAAAGCAAATAAAGGTCTGAGGATTTAAAACAAAAATATATAAGATAGTGTTGAAAGCGGAAAAAAATTCACGAGTAAAATTCAGTTGCAAATTATAACTCCCTACTAATGGTACATTAAAGTCAGTTTGTTGCAGTAAGTTAATTAACAGCAATCATTCTACTGTTTTCTTCAAAACTGCTTTATGAAAATAATGTGCATGACGGTAAATACTTTTTTTTTTTCATGAATGGTACTGTACTTTTGTTTATACCTAATTTCATAGGGTTACTTCCTTTGATTACAAAACTTGCAGGTGTGAAACTGGCAAAAAATATTAGGTAAAATTTCATGCTCGTTATTACAAGTTTTTTTGTCATAATTTTCTGTTTTATGCTAATGAGAAAGTACCACAAAATATGAAGTTATTCAATAATCTCATTTAAAATCCAAGCAGAAAACATTAATGAACATGAATTTTTTTTATACTTCCCAAACATATCTACACTTCTGGCCACCCAAATTGCAACACCAAGAAAGACAAGAGCTATCACAACAAAATTTATTTAGTAGATAACATGTTGACCAAGTATCATATGATTAAATTTATAGATTTCTGTGAAGTGTGGTTCCTTCCAGAACCAGTAGACAGAGTAGCCGCCATTGTTGGAGATCACCGCTGCCACATGCCTCGACCTTGATTCAAAAAGACTTTGGATGTGTTCTTGGTATACAGCAGACCAAGCAGCTTTCACGCGTTGCCAAAGTTGATCTGGTGTGGCAGCTTGGGATGCAATCTGGGTCAATCGTTCAGCAACCATGGACCACATGTTTTCTATCAGCGAAAGATCCAGAGAGTGAGCCGATCAGGGTACTATTCGGCTTCGAGGGTTATAAAAAATCGCCAAACTATTGTTGATGACAATGCTGCCAAAAATAATTGCGGCAACCTTAATAACTGCAGCAAGAAAGGAAGTATAATAGTAAATAACTATCTAAGATTGATGTTTAATTAGATAAGGTTAATTTCATATATACTTTTTTATTATTATAATTTATATGAAAAAGGCTAAACATGACTGAATGGACGCATAAGAGTAAATAACTATTTCAGATCGTTATTATAATTTATATAAAAATTGCTAAACATAACTGAATGGATGCCTGCATCGCTATTTCACTACCAGCTTATCGCTAAAGCATAATTTCATCTAGTTGGTTGTTCAAACGTAATTTTCTATAATGAATGATGCCCTTCCTTTGAAAATATTCTCGGTAAAGTGCAGAATCACTCACTTTGTTTGCTGCTTTTTACAAGGGTAAACAATTGGATTTTTGTCAATTTTCTTTTACTTTTTAAGTGAAAATAGGTCAATGTGTACATAGATAAAAGGGTGTGCGCAGTGCCATTTTTGTGTAATTCTAGGATTTCTTTTAAATGAAAATAGATCAATGTGTCCATGGATACCGAGTATGTGCAATTCTTAAAAACGTGTCAAGCAGTGGGTGATTCTGCACTTTACCCAAAATTCTATTGCCGACTTTTCATCATGGGCAATTCCCAAATTGTTAAATCCATTAGGATATCAAAAAAGAATTTAAAATCAAAAAAGGATTTAAAAATTAAACTAGTATTTCAATGGAATTAAGAAATATAGAACTATATAAAACTTATGCAATCTGAAATCAACGCGTATGCTAGATTTGGCGAGCTGTTAAATGGGCGCATTTGCTAGATTTGGCGCTTTTGCGCATACATTTTCGCTGAAATTTTTTTACGTCCCTCAAAACGGCATAGTACCCAGGGAAGCAAATCAATCTGGTGATTGACGAAGAACCCTTGGACAATGCGTGCCACATGTGGTCATGCATTATCCTGTTGAAATATGGCTGTGGGCAAGCCCTGAAGGTAAGGAAGGACAACTGGCTCCAACACCTCGGAGATGTAGCGCTGGCTGTTTAAAGTACCGACAATGCATACTAAAGGAGTGCGAGAGTGATATCCAATACCGCCCCATACCATAATACCTGGTGCAGGACCAGTGTGGTGGTGTGTAACGCAGCTGTTCAGCATCCTCTCTCTGCGGTGTCTCCAGACTCGAATCCGACCGTCGTGATGCTGCAGACAGAAGCGTGACTCATCAGTAAAGACAATTTCATTCCATTCTGCCGTCCACATCCTTCTTTCTTTGCACCATTGGCGGCGGAGACGTCTGTGGTTCTGCGTCAAGGACAGAAGAAGCAATGGACATCTTGCGGACAGACAAATCTGCTTTAAACGGTGTCGAATGGTACACGCAGACACTGGATGATACATTACAGACTGAATGTGCTGTGCTATGGTTCGTGATGTAACTGAACAATCCGTCACTGCCATGCACACAATATTGCTGTCATCACGCAAAGTGGCGCACTGACGTGGATGCGATCAAACAAGGTCGGTCCATCATATCCTCCTGCATTCAACGGTCACATATCCGCATTACAGTTGTTTGGTTTCGTCCAACATGACTACCAATTTGCCTAAAATCCACATTATCGGTAGGCCACTATCCTTTCTCTTTCGAACTCGGATACTTGATCAAACGATGATTGCTGTTTACTACGAAACATAATCGATCATTTTTTTGAGAAAAAAAAAAACACAAGAAAATCACAATTGCCGAACTTGAAATCGTCGAAAACTCCAAGCCTTAAATAGCGCTTTGAAGTGGTGCCACAGGCGCGCATGGTGTGCGTCTGCGCTGAATTTCTAATCATTTGCATATCTCACCTCCGCTAATGCATATTGTAAATTTCATGTTATTTGCATGCTTCCTTCATGGTGTTGCATTTACGGTGGCTAGCAGTGTATATCATTTTTAACTAGCTTCACCAGCATCAACACTCTCCCTAAATCTAAATTACATTTAAATTCCATGTATATTAAAAAATGAAAAGAAACATACTTTTGCAACAGTAGGCTTAATCATTCTGCGATCATATAACCTAACATATGGATCATTAGCACCAACAGCAAGTAACTCAGGTTTCAAAGGATTAATGGCAATACATTTAGCTTCAGCATTTCTTCCAAGATGACATACCAAATTAATAAGCACATTATTACATACATTGGAGCACTGATGAGGAACCCTCAGGTCATACTGCCTGCAAGGAAAGTGAAACTGTATAAACAGCATGGCATAAAATTTAGACAAAACATAGCAAAATGAAAAACCTATGAAAGATGAAAGTAAAGTAACTCAGCATTTTAAGAAAATGAAAATTTTTAACAATATAACATAGAGCTATATAATTACATGACAATGCCATCCTCAGCAGCACTCCAAAACATAAAAGGTACGTTGGGAGCCACAGCTAGACGTTTTACTCTACCACCATGACAACTGCAAGACATTGTATTTTCTTTCGTGGCTACATCATGCACTCTGATTCTGAAATCAGCAGCACCACTGACAACATTACGGTCATTCGTATTTGGAAGAAACTGTAATGAGGAAATTATAAAAAAATTCTGTATTTCTAAAACTTTTTTAACAGGAACCTCACTGTAAAATAACTTTAGTCTGAAATGGAGAACTACAAAATAATGTACGAGTTATAAATTATCATGTTTACTGTAATGTTTCTAACAGAAGAGAACAATTATTTCTTTAATGAAAGCAGTGTTGCCAAAAACTTAACAGTTAAACACTTTAATCAAGCATTAAGTTTTAGTGGTTAAAGCAATTCCCAAATAATATAGTATTTGCCCTTATTATGAAACACAAATTTTTTCTACTGGGAAATAATGAGCAAAAATTAACATTTGAAACTACTTACTTTAACTGAAAATATATTGCCCAAGTGTCCACTCTGAATGCTTTGCAATTTTCTATGCATAAATGGATCCCACAAATTTATATGCAGATCATCTGAGCCACTTGCTAAAAGGCTAAAAAAAATTAAAAAGCATTTCAAGTGTTTCCACTTTTTTCAGGCATAACAATACTTCAGTTATTTATAATACATACAAAATCAGCATAAATTATGTAGAATGAAAGACAGGAAATTTATATACATATTCATGCAATGATGGAAATAATATGAAAAATTACATGTAATAAAGAGCTTTTTAAGGCATGAATCTCAAAGGTGATTTCAATACAATTGTGTATTGAAACAAATGATAGCTTCCAAACTGACTTTTAGTTAAACACATAAGACATTCACTGTGCTAACTATATCAGAAGCAGTACTAATGACCATATCAAATATATAGTTATGCTCCAGGGTCTAATGATTTGTATTTGTAGTTTCACTTCATCTAGGTTTTATTTATTTATTTTTTGAAAAACCGAAGAAATAAATGGATCATTAGTTACAAAATGTGTATCAAGTGCAAACAGGCTGTAACATGGTACGTATGCATTAATCCAAATGCACCCAGGTAACACTTAAAGCAATCCTACCATGGGCACAAGTATGCAACCACTGTTCAGATCAACTGCCCCTTACTTACACAGTACTTTAGGGAAAGCCTGATCTATAGTTCTGTGTCATTCCTTGAAACTGTACATAAAGTTACATAATACAAGCACAGTATTTTCTCATAGTTCTGTCTTCTGACCATTCGACCAAAACACCAGATCCTCCTTTCATATATGCTATAAAAATGTAGAGAACACTTTTATTGTTATTTTACAGTTAAATGAACCTTACCACAGTAATACAATAGATATATAATGTACAATAGATATAGCCATCAAATATGAGAAACACTACTCCATAATAAAAATGTAACATATTTCTTCAGAGTTTACTAAGTGCTAACTAAAAAGCAGATATAACTCTTGGATCTAAGCAACATTACTACATTGTAAGGGTGCGACATTTCCTTAATGTTTATTTATACTTTAATAATGCTGATGATTGCAAACCATGCAAAGTCGAACCATCTTCTGCTCCCAAGCATAACATATGGACTAAATTCTTCCCTTACATAAAGTTGTCAGTATTTTTATTATATAACTGCATTTTGCAGACTGTAAAGTAATTGATCCTGCTCATGAAATATGAACTAATAAGTAGCAGTCCCCTCTTCCAAGAAATAGTAACACTGATCAATTGACCTCAACTTCATCCCTTTTCCATATCAGGCTATTACCGTATTTGACGGCATATAAGACGTACTTTTTTTCCTAAATTTGGTCTCAAAAAAGTTACCTGCGTCTTATACGTTAAGGACACAGTCTTATACGTGAAGGTAATTGCATTCAATAATTGTTTATTTGGCTTTTACGAAACGTGAGAACTAAAAGAAACCACGCTATTGAAACTTTTTTTCCTTGTGTGTGGACGTCTAAATAAGGGTGCGTCTTATATGCCGTCAAATAAGGTAGTTATATTTTTGAAGTATCAAAACACTAAAGTCAGTTGTCTCACATTCTACTCTCCCCAATGGTTTTCCGCATGCAAAGTGAATCTGAAATAATTTTCCTTAGCAAATTCTGCAGAAAAACACCCCTTCTTATGCAAGATAGCCTTGCATGCATTGCCATAATCAAACAAACAATCTGGTCTAGAAGCCAGGTTACACAGCTTAATGCAATCAAAATATTAAGAGGCCAAGAACAGTCTTTTTTTTTTTTTTTTTTTTTTTTTTTTTGAGGAGGAGGAGGAGGAGGGACAATATCTGGAAGTTTTGGCGCAAACTTCATGGATATGCATTTCATACCCAAATGTTCAGTATGAATGGCTTGAATTGAACTGTAACTAATGATGAGCTCTACAGATGTCTTACAGATGATGATCTGACAAGTTTTTTGCATAAATGCAAACACATTTTTGATATTTTATAAGTTTTGCAGATTAAGGGCATCCCAGGCTATTCAACACGTTCTTGACCATCAAAGAAACATTAGAATCGGTCATAAACACGTGTGCAGCTCATACATGCCTCTTCAATTTTTTTTTAGCCCAAAGGGGCTTTGTCCCTGAAGGACTATTGTTTTTGTTTTGCGATTTTGCGTTGAATCATTATAAATATCCATTTCACTTTTCAAACTATTGCCACCAAATGTTAGAGCCCCGCATTATATTTGAAGAAAATAAATAATGAATAATCTGCATAAATGTATGCATATTTCTCACATTGTGATAAAACAACGGTACACCAAGCCATCAAATTTTGAATGACGTAATTCTCCTATGAATATGGGCATGTGGAAGACCAAATTTGAAATGTGTTTTATTGTCAATTTCATACTTTGTTAAACTCAACAATTTAAAAGCGAGCAAATTTACGGCGAAGGAAAAAAAACCTTTTTATCTCCAGTGGGTGCAGAACTGTATATCGGAAATTCTAAAGAGATGCTCATTTTAAAATTATTTTGCGGCACTGTTATTGAACTGAATTTTATGGCTTAAATGCAAAGAACGTGATATTTAATAAATAAAGGTAACACACAAAACGTTAAAAAAAAAAAAAAAAACGCCCGTTTAGACTTAATTTAAAATCTGAAACCTTTCAGATTTTTTTTGTTCTTGTTGTTACTTTACATCAGTCTCTGTGCAGTACCATCATGCTTTTAGCAAAAATTGATGCAAATTTCCCCGTTCAACATTTATTCTCATGGTGAATCTTATGTCAAAGCACTTAAAACATCTGCTCAAAATAAACAAATAACACCATGTTTAGGGCACAAGCGCAGCTTGATACAAGGTACCGTAATTTCCGGAAGAAAGGCCGCATCAGCGTAAACGCCACACTCGAGAAAAATGGCGGGAAAAAAATTAAAATTACACAGAAACGCCGCATCAGCGTAAACGCCGCAATAGATTAAATTGTGCGTGACATCGTCGTGGGCCGTATAGATGCAAAAACTCAACCTATCTTCACTATCTGAATTAAAAAGATTTAGTAAATCCTGATCTAAGTCTTCCAGATCGTCACATTCATCCTCTTGGTTTACAGTCTCTTTATCTAAGGATATAATTTCAGCTTCTTTGAACCCTGCTATTATTGACGATGTTTCTACCGATTTCCACGCACTTCCTGCCCACTTTGCAATTTCTTCAAAAGATGCTCTATGCATTTTACCGCTTTTGGTTTACGTATGCAATCCTTCACTCATCCAACACTCCCACCGCTTTTGGACTTCAGCTTTGAAGGATTTATTACCTGACAAATCTAATGGTTGTAAGATTTTTTCAAACCACCAGGAATTATTGCTTCGGTCGTAGACAATTTTTGACATCTGGTTTTCATCGACTCAAAGAAATGAGCACGCATGGAATCCATTATCAATAACCCCTTTGGTTGGAAAAAAGATCCCATACGACACTGCCAAACTTTTTGTAGCCACTCATGCATGATTGTTTCGCACATCTAGCCATTCTCGTTTGCACAAATAATTACGTCATTAGGAAAATCTCCCTTCGGAATAGTCTTCGTTTAAAAATGATCATCGGCTTTAGCTTGTCACCGTTTGCGGCACAAGCTAACACATATGTAAATGACGTTCTTTCATGCCCCGTCATAAACACAGATACAGTTTTTGCACCAGTTTCACCAGTATCTGGCAGAATGCCAAGAAAAATCCATTCATGCTGAAGGGGAAATATGTCAGAGTTCGTTATTGCAAGGCAGGTGGAGTCGTTGTCTGCCTTTGAAAAAAATTGCCAGAAAAGGCAGGGAAGGGGGGGAGAGGATGGGTCCTGGAAGATTCATCGAATGGCAGAGGAGCAGAGGAGAGAGGACTATTCAAACTGATGAGAATGTTGATTTGAAAGGGGGAAGAATGTTATTGTTCTCAGATCTCGTTTAGGATGAATAAGGCATGTAGGTCCGTTCAAGGGAAAGAATGTAAACAAAATAACGTTCGCAAAAAGCAACTGAGTGGTCTTTTGTGTGGGAACAGCACCAGTCTATGCACAATGACAAGGCCATCCAAACTATGTACAATGACCATCATAGGAAATATATTATTTTTAGTGCACCTAAACGCCGCATGGGTAGAAACGCCGCACCTGCTGAAAATTTAAGTTTTAAACACGTAAGCGCCGCAGCGTTTCTTCCGGAAATTCTGGTAAATCTCTGCTTAGCAGTTTCAGTCTGCATGCTTTCCTTCTGAGAATATGGCACCAATTCTAATACTTTTAATCACACCTTATATTTTTACTAAAAAGTCTCAAATGACCAAAACAATTATGATCTGAAAGTCAGCATCATTGGACTGATTTCTTAAACTGAAAAATACTTTTAAATACCTTGTACACACTCAGTCCCACAGTATAATTTAACTTCTGTTGCATGTTGTTCTGTTGCGCAAAAAAAAAAAAAAAAAAAAACGGGGGGAACAGTTTTATATCTCCCGTTCCACTGGGCTGATTAACAAAATCCAAATTGAGTTTTTCATGTCCCAAAAGCGCGACTTACAATATATATTGGATTTATATAAAGCATCGTTATAACATAGGGATTTTGACACAAAATCAGACTTTTTCTGAAATCCCACGCCAATGTGAAATTGATGCGAAATTTATGGAGAAATTCAAAACTTTATCCTGGTGAATTTGTTTCAATTTGCGTCAAGAATAATTCACTTGGCGAACTTCTTAATTTATGGCAACCTATTTTCCTTTCCCTTTTTACACTCTGCACGAGTGGGCGAAAGTCACATCATTCCTACAAATAATTTTAACAAAGTGCCTAAACCCTATTTGATGTTTTATCGCTTTCTACAAATGTGACAAATTTCAAAACGCACCAATATATAAATTCACGTATTTCTGGAAATTTTGAATAAAAAACTAATTTTTTGCAGATATGCTTAGAAATACATCTACTTTAAGACGATGGTAAAAATTTTATAGGTTACAATTCAAAATTTGTTTCGAAAAATTTGTAAAAGGAAGAATCAAATAAGTTTAATAAAAAAAAGACAAATTAATAAATATATACCAAATTAATATTGAGCAGCTAAAATTTTGAGAGCTAATTTCTTAAAAACTACTCGTGTGATTTTTACAAATCTTGGCAGTTTGGCAAAATTTGAGTCATAGAATCGAAATATGGGGGGGGGGGGGGGAAATCGGTATGTCATTTCAGAAGAAGTCCGATTTTATGTCAAAATGCCTATATTAGAACAATGCTATATATAAATCTAATACATATCCTAAGTCAAGACATAAAAAACCCAAGTTGAATTTCATCAATCAGCCCAGTAGAATGGGAGGTCCCCTCCCTATTTTTTGTGCAGTGTACCTAAAATGTACAAAATGCAGTGTATTACAGTTAAAGGCAGTCATTATATTATCTGCCAAAAATTAAGTATACAATGCAAACAAATCCCAAATGGTAAGGACATTTTTGAATTTTATAAGGTGAAACTTACTGTTCTTATAGACAGGGATAACTAAATGAAGTGGTGCAAAAATGGCATACGATAAAAACGGTTCATTTATAAGTCACTATTCATGAGTTTCAGTTTTTAAAGAAATTTTTCAAGTAGTACTGGTGCTGTAGTGAAGGTATGGCACAAAAAAAAGGGTTACAATGTTTAACAAATGAAAGTATCCATGATGAGAAGCTTAGTGGAAAAAAAGGGTTCTGCATTTTTATGAAACCATATTAATTGCACAAAAAAATGTGAAATTCTCATTAATTTACTTGAAATGTTTCTTTATTTTTTAAACAATATAAATACGGATTTCTGACTTTTGAAAACCCTGCTGCGGCTTTCAAGGTTTCACGAAATTTATCATGCAGCTCCTATAGTAGTGAAATTTGACAACCCCTGCTCTATACCTTTCTTACGTAATACAACTGTTCAAAACATGGTAATAGTTTTCATTATTAATTCCAATTCAAAAATTGAAACTATACTTACTCTCCCTTTTCATTCCATTCCAGACAATTAACACAGCCACCATGCCCCTAAAAGCAAAACAATTTCATGTCTGCATTTTTTATTATATAATATTATGGAAATTACATCCAAGAATAGTATTGTATGGTGTAACCTGATTAGCTTCCGGGGGGAAAAAACCCTCATGCAGAAATTACATTTATAATGCAGAGCATATTAATTAAGGGGAAACACAAACATAAAATTATACCTTCTGCTCTGTGGTATATGTAGAGCATTTTAATATCACTACTGACTATTTTAATATCACTACATATTACATATCACTACTATTTACATAGAGTGTACATACACATTATTTGCATCTTTTTTCTTTCATAAAATTAAGGGTTTTAATGCCCACCACCATACTCTTAAGATCTCAACCGATAATTTGCTCACAGGAAAAAAAAAAAAAAAAAAATCACAGAATAAAATAAGTAAAAATATTTGACAGCACATGAAATGTGTTTATGCTATAATATTGAAAACGTTATGTTAAAAAAATTAATCTCTGAAAAAATAAGAGTGGAAAATCAGTCTTTAGAAATGCTTGCAGCTACATATGCTTTTACTATCAAAAATAGCCTTTCAAAAGATTCAATTATAGAATTTAGGATTGATCGTTTAAAGCATTTGGAGATAAAATTTTTAAAATAATTTCTTTCAAATTTTAATGTTGAAAAAAATGTGTCCATAAGCCATACTCATTTGAAATGCTTAATATCACTTGTATACTACTGAATGCTGGCCGACCAACTGCTGAGTGGTTGAAAACGCTGAACACTAGTAGTTTGACTCAGGTTCAAATTCTGTCAAATGTGTTGGCTGCATAGGTGTTTTGTGGTTTTCTAAATGTGCAACATAAATATGAGCCAGTTTCCCTTACACAATCCTCCTCCTAAGCGGAAAGTGCTCATGTGATTTATCATATTCAATCAATACAAACCAAAATCATTAAATACTTCAGAAGAATTTACCTGAGAATCTCAGATTTAAAACATCAGTTTTCTGAAAAATCATTAAATCAGTTTTGGTGGGATAAATGGCTAGAATTAAGCCCCGTTCACAAGAGCAGATTCGACCAGTAGCGAAAACCGGTTCTTCCAACGTGTCCCGTTCACATGGGACAAGCATTAACTGCCACCGCGAATTGGAGGTAGAACTTGGTTGAATGTTCCTTACCTCTCGGGAGCTGGGCAAATGGGGGAAATTCCCGTACTATACTGCGCGGTTCACTTAATTTTAGTTACTGCTCGCTGGACTGTCAGCGAAATAATCGCGCTGATAGATGTCTGGGGATGTGATAGCATCCCCCCCAAAATTAGATAGAACTGTACAAGATACGGAAATTATAGACAAATACAGACAAGGGTATCTGATGATAGGTATTCCAGAAATATCATTCAAATTAAAACTAAAGTTAAGACAAGTGCATATCGGCTTCAACGCGACAAGGAACTCGGTACCTTTGAATGATTTTTTTTTAATTTAAGCATTTCATCTACTTTTATGAATATTATTAAATAGTTTTGTTGAGACAAAATAATTTTAAGCTGAAAAAATTTTTGCTAGTAATTTTTTTAATTTAAATTTTTGAGAAAAATTTTACAATTAAAATGTATTTCTTCTTTACAATTTTCAATGTATCCCCCCAGTTTTTTATTGTATTTATATAGAGTGTTTTTTAACGTCAAGGAATGATTTTGCAATAATGAATTAGTTCTGAGAAAAAATACACTTTTATCTAAAATTCATTAAAACAGATATGTACATTTCATTTCAAATAATTTTTCCTTTCAGTATTTGCAAAACCATCCTTGTTCTAGAAAGTATATAATTTTAAATAAGCAGTAAAATAATAAAAAAATTAGTCCATACCTGTATATGTTTTAGGACTTTAAAAGGATTTATTGAAAAGAATGCAAAAGGTCTCTCAGTTTGCATTTGCAGTTTAAAGAATACAAACTGTTTGAATAGACATTTAATCATTTCAAATCTTTAAAATTTTATTACTAAATTTCAATACACACACATATATAAATCAAACCTAGTGTTATTTAATAAATTGGTAAATATAAACATAAATTACAAACTTTTTGAAACCTTATGTTGCCAGAAAAATTGCAAAACTCATAAAACGCAAACAGAATTTTTCTTTACCTGTCTTTGTTTTGTAAAACACGTTCAAAACCATTTTAATACATTTATTAATTATAATATTGTTGCATGTACGGGTTTGTATGTGTTTGTTCATAATGATTGTCATTTCACTCAAATCTGATGATAGGTTAATTAAATTTCTTTTATCAATAGAAACACTTCAAAAGTTCTGTAATTTTCCACAGAAATACTCGTACAAGTGTTTAGAATAGCACTAAGTATAATCAGTAGTTATACTTCAATCTAATAAAAAAGTTAAACACAACGGAATGCAAAACGCATCTTAAGAGAAAGTTAACTCGGAAATATCTCCAATCTCCGCTGAAACTAAACAACTGGCAACAATAACAACTTATATAGCATAAATAATGTTCATAAAATAGTGTGGTTTATAATGAGATTATTACTTTGAAACCCGAAAGTATTACTTCAAAATATAATAATAATTCGAATTGATGCCCAAGAAGAACCAATATTTCCCATCGCTTCATTGCATATTCTTCAAAAAAGTAAAAAAAAATCATCCAATTAATTTCCTTTATCATTTTTTTTAAATGCGAAATGTTTGTTTTACAAGCTGGGAAAATGTCGAAAGTTTGTAACCGATATATTTTTAGATATGAATTTTAAAATTAATGGGTGTCATAAAAATATGAACGGTTTTCAAAAATTCTCACAAAAGATTTTAAAAAAAATTACGCTAAAAATTTCATTTAATTTTTCCTTTCACAGGTGGTATGGTGCAAACTATTAATATTATGAGATCTCACTTATTTGTTAATATTTGCAAAAAAATCGTTTCAACTTTAAATCTGAAAAAAAAATCTAATCCTCTAAAAATCAAAAGCGTGACACCACATCCACAAGCAGGGTAGGTACTAAGTTGAGGTTCTATATCTTATCGGGAAACAGTTTAAAAACCATGACCATCTTTAACCATAGCGACAAGCTTCAAGAGTGAAATAAAAACAGCTTATAAAATAATAATAATTAAAAAGCAGATATTTTCAGGAACCATTAGGAAAGTCAGGTACTAGTGCGAAAGTACAGATTACAAAATTAACAACAGTAAACAATGTTAAAAATGTGTAAACATTATTAGAAATCTGCCAATTCGGAGACGGGATTGTTCACAGAGGCTTAGGTGTAAAGGGAAGGAAGACGGTGGTCTTCTGAACGGGTCCTAAAGACGAAACTCTTTCATGTCTCCTTTTTCTCCTCTTGCTAACGGCAGCTGTGCGAAGGAGCGTTGCTAGTGAATGGGGCTTTATAAACACTTAATAATATTACTCCAAATATACAACATTTTGTACTATGTAGCAGTTTCAACATTAAGCTTCTAAAATCAAAATAATGGTCAACTGGACAAAATGCTGAAGAAGCTCTATATTCTGCAGGATCAGATATTAATCCAAGATTTAAGCTTTAAACAAGCACAACCAGCTCCTCAGTTTGGATATCTGGCTTTATCTTATTTATAAATATAATTAATTATATTCATATTTACACCAAAAAAAATTTTTTTGAATATTTTTTAATAATTTATTATCAGGATACATTTTAATTCAAATTTCTAGTTTATAAACCTTTACAGCAAGGGTCGCAAAAATATTTGTTCAGGTAAAGAAAAAACTTCAAATGTTTCAAGTAAAATGACACCAAGTTAATAAAATTGTAATGTACTGAAAATGCATTTATGTAGTTAAACGTGATCTGCTTCACCGCTGCTTTTCCTACAAAATTAAGTCAAATATGTTTCCTCAAATGTGATATTTGTATCAAAAAGAACAAAAAAAAAGGACTACTAATCTCAAATGACTAATAACAGCAATACAAAGTATTGCTAACTATAGGCCAATTCAAGATGTAAAACATTATAAGAAAGAAACAATTATTTTAAATGGACAGAATAATTAAATTAGAGTACAAAACCTAAAATCTGGACTCGTCGGGACTTCAGTGATTCCGGATGTGGGATTTTTCTGGATTATAGATCATCAATTTAAATCTGGTAAGATGGCATGCAGAAATTATAAAATTAAAAATATGAAACCGTAATTTATGAAATAAAGAGCAATTATGATCTAAAGGGTATCAAATTTTAGCGAAAAAAAGCTTAATATTTATTTGTTTACTTTATTAAACATTTCTTTCCATGTAAGTTGTTTAAGCTGCTTTGTTTTTTGTGCTAATACTTTCTCTTTAATTATATAAACTGACATAGCTTCTTGTTCAGTTACAAAGTTCCACTGTTCAAGTCCTGCAATTGCTGTGTCGAAAATACAGACTAACTTGTCAATCAAATTTTTTTCATTTTCACGGTAGCAGTATTTTCTGGATCTAGAACCGTACTACAGATTTCACCCTTCTTTAATTGATTGATGATTGGGGTATTGTCATCGCAATGAAAAACTTCTGTTATATCTATCATCTTCATTTATTACTGCTTCTACACATTTCTTTATAAAATCCATTAACTGGAAAATTTCACCTTTAGTCTTCGATATCCAAAAACCTTCAAATTCGCGGCTATCATCTTCATCGGCCTCACCATGAAATATGGTAGCTGGCCATAAATTATGCAAAACATTTTTTAACGTATCTGGAGACACTATCTTGCGATGCTCCACACAGTAGATTTTATGCTAAAATATTTTTTAAATTCTTGAATAGTCTTGCCACTGTTCAAGAAATTTAACATGGATTTTTAAAATGCTACTTTATATTGATGCAAAAGCAAAGTTTAAAGTTATAAAAGCATTTAGCAGAACTAGCAATAGAAGCTCCCTAAGATTAGGTATTGTGCAGACATAGAAGACAAAAATTTTAACTTAAACTGATTTATTATAACAAATATAATATAAAA